AAATGTCAAGGGGAACCTTGACCTAACACATTGGCTGCAGAGCCAAGCATTGGCCTTGATGCAGAAGTCCTGCATCACCTAAGACCAAAATATTTCAAAGGCTGCATCCTCCCATATAATCCGGCCCAGGATGTAAAATAACTGAGAAAAGCTTCCCACCCCTTTTCCTTCTGCTACCATCAAAAGCATGTTTGGCACCAATGCAAGATGAATTCTTTGCAGGGGCTGGTCTGAGTCCTGAAACACCCTCCCCCCGCTGCCGCCCCCCTCGCCACAGGAGGGGCTAGCCTAGCTCCATCTCTGATGTCTTTCCAAAGGCAAAGACATTTTTATTCGGACAGACTGTTGGTTTTGCAGCTGTCTTGTCAGTTCACTGAAAGAGGTTTTAACTCATACCCATGAGTTTCTTTCTTTCTAATATTGCTTTTATGTTTTTGATTAGAACTTTGTATTTTATTCTGTATTTTTATTATTGCTAGTGGCCTTGAGTTCTGTTCATGAACAGTTAGGGGAAGGCACAATACAATTTAATAAATAAATATTTTCCATCCCACTATTTTCGATTATTTAACCTGCAAAAGCCACTGGTTCTGACTTTTGCACCATAACTTATCACATTCAATGTCCTCCTCTATGTACACAAAACCCCATTTAACTGAATAAGGTGGTAAAAAAAAAACATGTGAAGGACTAATCAAGTTCTATACAAGGTACTTTTAATTTACAAAGAATAATTGCAAAACTTGAAACAGAAGGTGGCCCAGAGAAACGCCACTTCAAATTGCTGCAGCACAAACCAGAATTCACTGCATTGAAAAGAAAATTACTGTAGTTTAATAAGAACTGGCTGCTTCAGCAGAGCTATATAAAACCTGCCAGTGGACAAAGAATTTCATACCCCTTATTCTGCCCAATCGCCAACTTCTTCCCTTGTGGTCTTCTCTAGATTTGCCTAATCCAATTCATTATGCTGCTTTAAAGGCATTACCGGCTCAGCAGTGCTCTCTCTTGCCCAATTCAATCTATTACAGAAACTACATTATAAATCTCCGGGGTGCATTCGTGCAATTGAGCAAACTACTTTTCAGTCTCTCAACTCTGAGAGCTGGGAGAAATCTTGGTGTCCCTCTGAAAACCATGAATTGAGGTTCAGAAAACGAGAGCATGATAGCTCTAACTGCACAGGGAGCACACCGTCTAGAAGTTTTAGCCCCATGCCACACCGCAAATGTTTTGGAACCCCTCTTACTATATGGAGTATGGAAAGCAAGAGACACATCAATGTTTGACTCAGCGCATAAGTGATAGCTATCAATTGCTAATTCTCCATATGATTAAAAAGGTCATCATACACATGCACACACACTCGTGTATAGCATCACAAAGCATAGTAAACAAAAGGTTCCCGAATCCAAGGGACTTGCATCCTCTTGTTACTGCACAAAAAAGGAAGCTGCTGCGGTGCCTTGTGGAAATCATAGTCCTTTGGGGAGCGCTCTCCAAAAAACCTAAAGAATAGTGGTACTCCCAGGAAGCATTACAACAGATTTGTGGGTTGTTTTGTACATTAACAATAGGAAATATGCCTGGTACAGTCACATAGCCTCAGAAATAGGCCGAGGACCAGGTGAGCAAAATGTTTTCTGCAGGTGTGGGTCTGTGGGCTGGGAACTCCCAAAATTCTACCTAGGGAATTCTTGGCAGAATTTTGGGAGCTGAGGGTCCAAAAAAAATGAATAGAATACCCTTGCTGTACCTGCCTATCCGTAGAGGTATTAAGCTGCGGAGTACTCTGTACTCCTGAGAAAGAAAGAGAGAGGTGGCAACTGTATTTCAGCACTAATATGCTTGAATATACAGAAAATCAAAGCTAGAATTTCCAGCACTGGATCTGAAAGGTGAAAATCTGACAGATTTTGTTCCAGTACCTCCTATATTTATAATTTTCAGTATTCAAGTTCCTTTCACCCACAATATGAGGAACGTTACAGACTTTCATAAATTCTAATCTCCCACCTCTTAGGCTACAAGTCTGAAAACAGTCTACTACTGTCTATTACAGCATTATCCCGCCATCCCAGGGCTCTCTTAGGATGGGGCCAGGTTTCTCATGAGGCAAACTGTGCTGGACTCAATGATTCATAGGGTCCCTTCCACCTCTGCAGTTCTAAAATTATTATTATTATAAAGGGAGGCAGCAGCCTCAGACACATACTGGGTATCATAAAAGGGAAGCAAACTGTAAGCACATTGATTTGTTATTATTACATTTTAATTGAAAATTATTAGAAGTCATGTTTGTGGAATTTTCTAACCCCTGTATCAAAATAATATGGCTACTGAACTTTGGATATCATACATGATACCATCATTTACTGTTTTGCCTCAGGCAACAAAATGTCTTAGGCCTCCCTGCTAAGGACACCTCCTCCCAACACTGCTGTGTTGAAAAAAGATTACCTAGGCAAGTGCTTCTCAAACTTGGCTCCCTAGATGTTCTTGGACTGCAAGGAAAAAAGATTACCTAGGCCAGTGGTTCTCAAACTTGGGTCTCTAGATGTTCTTGGACTGCAACTCCCAGAAATCCTGGCCAGCAGTGTTGAAGGCTTCTGGAAATTGCAATCCAACAGCATCTGAGGACCCCCGTTTGAGAACCACTGCTCTAGGACAATACTGTTGGGGACCCCCATTTGAGAACCACTGCTCTAGGACAATACTGAGATTTGTTTGATTCTCAATGTGTTTGTTTGTTTGTTTCTTAATTATTCTCAATTTCCTGGCTCTCATTTCTGCAGAACTTTGAAACACAGCTCAGTCTTCCAGATAGTAAAGGACTTTAAACTTTTATGTCCTAGAACTTCAAAAATCAAGCTTTGAACTAGACCACATCGAATATTAACAAGATGAGGACATGCTCCAAGATAAAAGAATAATTTTTCTCGTTAATATAGTTGGTTTTGCACAAAGCACATTAATATGTGATGCCCATCAGATTATAATAGCTAATGAGGAACTAGGCCTCTGGGCCCCAAAGTAATTAACCTCTGAAAAGATGCATCAACAAGGTCAAGAAAACCACTGAGCCAGTTAAAGCAAAAAGTGATTCAAAAGAATAGATGCCTTGCACCCCAAACTAAATCACAGTCCACCACAGATCATATACCATTACATCCAGGAGAGTATTCACTACAACATGCCATCATACAGAGAGTCAAGCCATTGGTCCATCTTGCTCAGCTGCTATAGGGTTAATTAGGTAAAGTGGGGCAGCCCCCTCAGACAGCAGATGCTGAGGGGCACACACAAAAATACAGCTGTGTGTGTCATGTAATCTACACTACGCCTTCCTTACCAGCACTGAAATAAGATCTAACCAACAGTCTGGTCAAGTCTTTAACATGCAACTGGCGCGTGAGGCGGCAGCAGACACGATCTTGCTACTTGCTTCAAAGCAACAAACCAGCTGGGGTTGACTCTGCTTTAAAGATGTATTGTCTATGATTGTTGCACCAATCAAAGACACAACAGGCTCCAGAAGCTGGAGTGCTTTTACTGTCAACCTGAGTTATAGTGGTGCCTCGCTTAGCGACGTTAATCCGTTCCGGAAAAAATATTGCTAAGCGATTTCATTGCTAAGTGATATTAAAAAGCCCATAGAAACGCATTAAAATGCGATTAATGCGTTCCTATGGGCTTAAAAACTCACCTTTAAGCAAAAATCCTCCATAGCGCTGCCATTTTCGCTGCCTCTTAAGCAAGGAAAAACAGCGGTGGCCATTTTCTTTTCCCAATGGCCATTCTGAAACCGCTGATCAGCTGGTAAAAAAGGGTTACTTTGCCATGATTGCTTCCCCGTGATCATGATGGCCATTCTGAAACCGCTGATCAGCTGTTAAAAAAGGGTCACTTTGCCATGATCGCTTCCCCGTGATCATCGCAAAGCGAAAAAAAAACTATAGGGACCATCGCAAAGCAATTGCTTTTGCGATCGCAAAAACTCCGTCGCTAAGCGATTTCGTCACTCAACGGAGCGATCGCTATGCGAGGCACCACTGTATTTTGATACCTGGGCAAATAGAAATCACAAGAACTGCTTGCTTAAATAGCAGGGGGAAATCATGGGGGAAAATGTACATTTAACACTAACTACAAGAGCAAAGCCATTTATTAAGACCAAACAAAGGCTAAAATCCTGTTGCTTAGTGTGCTCATCTGCAAATAAAGTAGGCCTACTGAACCCATGGTTAGATCTGGTGAGTCAGTTCCTCCCCAAGTTCAAATAGGCCTACTTTGAACATAACATACTATGCCAAGCAACATAATGTCATTAGAAAATATGTCATTAGAAAATCCTTATGAATTCTGAAGTAGGCTTCCTCAAACTTGATTTTTTTTAAAGACTGGAAATGAAAGCGAACTCATTTAAATCATGGAGAAAGGAGGGTTGCTGTTCAGTGCCCATTGCTTCTAAAACAACTGCCAGATACCTCAGTAGTTTAGGGATCTGGCTGTGGAGCCAGAAGATGGGACTTCGATTCCCCCATGGTGCCGCCTTAACAAGGGCTGGTAGTGATGATCCACAGGGCCCCTTTCAACTCTGCAGTTCCAAGATGATGATGACAATATAACACAAATTGCCATTCATATTTTAACTGCAAGCCAGCTTCAAAACAGCAACATCCTTCACAACTGTTTTTTCCCTTCCTCCTCTGATAGACGAGCTGAGCATGGGGAATTCTTGGACCACACTGGATGGAAGACCCTAGGCGCTGCAATCCAAAACAATTTCCACCCCCCTCCACCACCACCACACACACACCTCTTTGGATGAAGATCATCAAACATTCACTGGAACTGATGGCAAGCTTCACCCCACTTTCTACTCCTGCTCTTACGAGGAATCCCAGAACTACCTGAGGCTGCTCTTTCTTGCCTAGGAGAACTGATGGCCTTGGAAATGTGCATTCCCATCAACTTCCCAAAAGCCAAGCACTGCTGACCTGTCAGAGACACAATCTGCCCTCCGGCTGCGGCTGGAAATCGGAAGACTGTCTGCTGTGCCTGCTGTAGCTCTCCAGGTGTACCTGCCAACGCCACCTGGCCCTGCTGGCTAGAGAGGGTCAGCGAATGTGGCTGTAACTGAGTGAGAGGAATGGTAGGGGTCCCAGGAGGGAGTGGAGCACCTGCCAGAAGGAGGGAGAGAGAGAGAGAGAGAGAGAAAAGAGGCCTTTATCAGGGCCAGATCTTTTAAAAAATCTCTTTCAGTCCCCCGAGCTTATGCCCAGTTTCCTCCCAGATTTTTTTTTCTTTTTTTTTAATTGCAGGCCTTTTATTTGGGAGGATGAGGCAGGGGCTATCCTGCCCTGGCTCCATGTCCAAGCTCCCCTACAATTCCTAGGATTAAGAGTGCCAAAAGGATTTCAGATGATCTCCATCGCCTGTCAGCAGCCAGGAGGCTGGCAACAGAAACAGCACTGTCGTAGCTTCTCAGCACTCCCTAGGGATCACCACTCAGCCAGCTCTTCAAGCTGAACCTACCCTGGGCCAAACTCCCTTCTGGACCGAGCCCATTCAAGCAACTGCAGTCTTGGCATTCCAGCTCCCCTGCCTCTCACAGGTCAGGAAAGGGGGCCAAAGACAAGCACACCCACAGTATACATCAGCAGAATGGAAGGGGAAAAATAGCTTGAGCTGACAAGAGAGAGAGAGAGAGAGAGAGACTGACCTGGCATGAGGGTGAAGCCGGTGGGTATCTGCATTAACCCTCCGGAGGCCACCGCACTAGTTCCAGTGGTCTTCAGCACTGTCCCGTTGGCACTGGTGACCGTGTTGGGGCTGACGCTGGCAGAGACTGGCGCTAGATAGTTGGTGATGGGGAACGTGGGGCCACTGCTGACCTGCATGGAGGTGGAGGTGGTGGGTGCCGTCTGGATTGTCGACGTCGTCCCCGGCAAGTTGGTGACTGTGAATGCAGGTTTCAGTGAGTCCTGCAAGAAAAGGGCAGGTGAGAACAGCTGAGTCAAAATTCAATCCCACTCTTGAGTCAAAACACAGCCTTTCCCTTCCCACTGCCCTCCAGAATCTACATTTCATGAGAGAATCTAAGGAAGGTCAAGTGTGCTTCTAGGAGAGGAGTGGAGAATGTGTGGCCCTCTAGATGCTGTTGGATTACAATGCCCATCATCCCAAACTATGCCAAGTGGCTCTGATAGGACTTGGGTTCTCAGCGAAATCTAAAAGGCCGTAGATCTTCCACCCATCTTAAACCAAGTGTGACCAAGAGACCCTCCTTTTGAGAATTCACACCACGGTGATTATATTAATCAGCAATACAGTTTATGGAGGAAGGAGGCAAAAGCGACAAGAGATCAAGAAAAGTAAATGCAGGCAATTCGCCCCAAAGTCAACCTCCCCCAAGGGTGGAAAGAATCTAGAGCAGAACAAACAGGTATGCAGGACGACAAGGGAGCAAGCAGCCTGGGGTTGCAGAAGGAGCATGTTGCGGTTTCCCTCAGTCAACCAGACTGAAGGAGTGCAACATTCTTTGGCAGCAGAAATGCAAGCAGTGGAATGGGATCAGCTTCCCCCAGTTCCCAAAATTCACCTGATCTCCAGAACCAGGGGGATTCTGGTCTGTGGTATTTGCCTCCTGCCCTGAACAGCCGGTTGCTCCTTCCTCCGACCAATGACCCTGTTGGCACAGAGGGAGGGGGAATCACTGCCTGGCAAGTGGATTGGGAATCACGGTGAGAAGGATTTTTCAGTTGTCCACAGCAATACACCTCCAAATTAGCTGGATTCTCCCAAAAAGAAATTAAGGACAGCCTCTAAAAGGTAACCGTTGTTTCCTAGATTACTGATGTAACTCCAGAGTAAAACTGGGCTGGAAGCGTCATACTGGCCTCTTTCCTCAGAAGGCGAGTGGAACAAGTTGACTGTGTTGACTATGGAATTCTGGGAGATGCCCCCAAAAGTAGCAAGTAGGCTGACTGGGGATTCTGAGAGTTGTGGTCCAAAATAAATAAATAAATAGCCCAGCTTTTGGTTTGGGATTCTGGGACGTACATATTTAAAAAGTTACACTTCCAAAGTCTGTGAGGATAGCTGTTCCAACTACGATGTCAAAAACTGACGTTACTAGACTGAGATAATTTTGGAAACAAGGTCCACAGCTTGGGACACGTACCTATTCACACTCTCATTGAGAATCAAGCCCAGCTTGCCCTAGCTGTGGTTGTTGATTTGACTTACATTCTACCTTATAGTGCTAAACTTCTCTGGGCGGTTTAAAACATAAAGATGCAGCGAGCTGGGTAGTCATTTTGCCAGCGTTGGAAGGATGGAATGCATGAAGATTGAACTCAGCTCAGGACGACAGCTGGACTGTAGTACTGCAGTTTAACCACAGTGCCATGGGGTTCATTAAGCCTAGTTTAAGACCAGGCTATTGCTTCTCTTCTTTTCCCCCCTCCCCCAGTTTACTTGGTTGCAGGTACATTTAAAGAATCGGACCAGGTCTTCCAATAGGCTCTGGCCTTCCAGATGTTTTGAGCATCAGCTCCTACCATCCTTTACCCCAGTGGTCCCCAACCTTGGGCCTCCAGATGTTCTTGGACCACAACTCCCAGAAGCCTTCACCACCACCTCTGGTGGCCAGGATTTCTGGGAGCTGAAGTCCAAGAACATCTGGAAGCCCAAGGTTGGGGACCACTGCTTTACCCGTAGCCATGCTGACTAGGATTTCTGGAACCTAAAGTCTAAGACATCTTGATGGCCAACATTCCTTAGATCCTGTGTGCAGGAGTAACTATATAACTGTATGTGGCCTTGCATAAAGACACAGTTCTTTGGCAAGCCTGATTCTCTTTTTATTAAGTTAGCACAGGAGACTTTCAGGCACACAAATAAGCAAGCTGCAGGAACAATTTTGCATCGGCGTCTCCCACTAGTGAAAAAGCTTTCCTTTTTCTTTAAATGAATAAACAAACAAACAAACAATAATAATACTTTTTAAACAAAAAGAAACTGGACCTCCTTTGCATTAAAAAAAACATTTTTGGTACTAGAAATGACTATGGCCCACAGATAAGTACATTCAGAAATAAACTCACAGTGCTAGAAACATAGCAAGGGAGATCAGAAATGCCATAGTCAACATATTTGGAAGCTCTGCTGCTCCAGTCGTATAAATCAACTCAAAGCCAAGAACAGAGAGAAGAGTCCATAGGGAAACAGAATAACATCAAAATGCACCTCTGTTCTAATTTATGTGAGCCTACTAGTTTGCTATAGGGAAGAAGGAAGGAGAATGTTTGTTTGCTCTCCTGCAAAAGATGGGAGTCCGTAGCTGAATAAGAGACTGCTTTGGCACTACTAATGATAGTAGCTAGTTGGATAGCTCAGTGGTTTACATACTGCTAAGTAACAGAACTACACAATCAAATATGAGACAGAAAAGGAGCATTAAACCCCCAAGAGTTCGCCAGATAACAACTTGTGAGAAATGCAAGGTCTATCCAGGGCTACATGTGTGACCTGTCATTGAGGGGTCAGTTTAGCATTCTTTTGGATTCAGGTAGGATGGGTGACTATTTTGTTTTGGATTTTTTAAATGAGCCTTTGCTAAAGTTTGCAAATTTCTTCTGCTTGTAATGGAATACAACTTGCAAGAAAGAAAATGAACGTAGGAGAGAACACAACCAATTGATTTATCCACCTAGACCCAAGGCTTTGAGTACACAACTTTTCAAAGCTTGGGTTTAAATCCTGTCCAGTTAAAGGTGCATGATTTAGGAAACAAATAGAGTTGACATCTTTTTTTCTGAGAGGATGTACATATTTGCCATCTATCTGGAAAGCAAATACAGCATGGCCTTCCCCAACTTTGGAATTCTATCTACTAAATCTGGCATGCACAATTAGTGAAGAATTTTGTTTCAGCTCATTTTGGATGGATTTTGCCAAAATTCACAAAACCACTTATCTGGAACAAAAAATGAGCTTAATCTGAATGTCAAAGAAAGCCAAACTGATAAGATTCCTATCCCAAGGTCCAAGTCAGCTCAACAAGCAGAACATATCCAAGAGCAGCATTTTGCTGCCACCCCCCCAGCGCAGCCCTACCATTAGATAAAGGGAGGCAATTACTTCAAGCAGCAGATGACCAGAGAGAGCAGCAACTCTTACACCTCCTGAGTATCCCCATTACTCTTTAATGAAGAGCACACCTGTGTGTGTCACATGTCCTTCTTGCACCCTCTAAAATGACACTACTGCCCTGCGGTGCAATAAGTCACTGCCCTTTCACTAGTGTCCAAGTAAAATGCAGTCAGTCACCAGTCCGGTTTAATTCTGCAGGTGGAATTACAGAGGGGCAGTCTGGAGGTGTGCCATCTTATCCCTCCCCTCAGATGGTAAGATGTCCTGAGAGACAGGAGGGGTTCTGGGAGCTGCAATCTAAAAAAGTAATTTTTCCCAGCTTTGGTCCTTGGGTCAGCCTGAAATGTCTCTAACCTGAGAGAGCAGCAACTATTTGCTCAAACATGAGAAGGCAATAGGAGTTGGGTGAAAACTTCCCAAAGGATCTAAAGTACTTGGTTTTCCAGTCTTTTATTTCTGCACAGCCGGCCAACACCTCAGCACCCTCCCTTCCTGGAAAGGGTTAAAGCCCTGATGTTGTCAGTGTTCTTGGCCCTCCCTCCACGCAGACTGGCAAGTCCGACACTCCCCATGTGCTTCTCCAGGCTCCTGACCTGACACTCTGCCAAACACAAGGAATTCACAGCTCAACTAACATCTAAAAAAGGAAAGGCAGCCCATTTTGGACAGAGGCAGCCAATCCAGAGCATCCTTCCTTGCGGCATCGAGGGGACAAGGGGAGGGGGAAGAAGGGGAGGAGAGGGCTGGCCAGCAGACGCCTGCCCCCAATCTTCTATCTAGCCCTGGCATGAAGATCTTGTGGAGATGGAATTAGGATGAGCATGTGATAATGTTGCGTACTTGGGCAAATCAACTTTCCATTCTCTCAACTACAGCCTCCTTCCCACTAGAGCAGACCTTCCTGCCCTAGGGAAACGGCAAGGAGAGCAGGCTTCTCTCGTGGATGGACATACGCACTTGTGCTTCTGGGGTCTCTGTGTGAAAGTGGCTAGTATTTGGACAGCAAGCCTCACTACCTGCAGATAAAAACTACAAATGCATGGGAAGCAATGGATCAGTGATATGGCATTGCCCTATGAACTGCAACACTTTTATTTATCGTATATTTCTGCTCACCTTTCTTCCAAGAAGCATACGAGTGTATACATGACCTCCATGCACATTTTTTTTCCTACAACAATGTTGGAAAGTGGGCCAGTCTGGGAAGCTTCAGATTCAGCTGAATGGGGATTCAGATTTGGATTCCAGTTTTCCTGACCCTGCTCCAGGCTTCCTCAACCATGAGACTTCCAAATATGATTTGAAGCCAGCTGGAACGGCAATGGCATTGGAGCCCAGCATGAGTTCACAGTATCAGGTTTGGGGAAACTGAATTAATCTAATATTTTCTCACCACTGACCACACTAGCTCTTCATCAATTAGCTAAGGAAGTGATTACTAGGGCAAGTGTCAAATACCAGCATAAATCTCTTATTGCCAGGAATAAATCATTTGGAATGGGAAAAAATCCCACACAAATCTTGTAAAACCACCAACAGAGAGTGTCATGTAGAAGCAGGAGTGACTCTCTAGGGAAACCCAAAGGGGCAAAGTTGTGCCTGAGGTTCTCTGCCCCTGGCTTCGAAGGATTGCCCACACAAGCAGCAAGCCTCTAGATGAGTGAGGCCTAGCCTAAAGGTGCAATGAGAACAGATTTCTGCCCTTACCAGTTAACGGAGCAATATACTCTACACCCTGCCCCTTCAGGATCCAACTGTGCACCACCAACAATGTACAGTGGTGCCTCGCATAACGAGCCCCAACAATGTACAGTGGTGCCTCACATAACTATGTTAATTGGTTCCATTAAAACATCGTTATGTGAAAACATCGTTAAGCAAAACACCATTTCCCATAGGAATGCATTGAAAACCGGTTAATCCGTTCCAATAGGAGCCTATTCAATATATTTCAATGGTGAAAAAAAAAATCACCAAAAATTCAAAAAGACTCAGAACGAAGCCAAATTACTTTAACGAAGGTTTTATTAGGTGCACTAACGATTCCAAGCATTTTAAACATTTTTAAACATTTTAGAATATTTTTAAAACAGCGAAAACAGGGCTGTCAAAAAAACGTTAAGCGAAACAGGGGACCTAAAACTGTCATCATTAAGTGAAGCAAGGTCCCAAACATCGTTATGCGAAAAAAACCCATAGGAAATATCGTTAGGTGAAGTGGCAAAATTTCCAGCAAAGGCCATTGTTATGCGAATTCATCGTTAAGCGAGGCACCACTGTATTCTCAAAGATCCATGCAGTGGAGAACTCCAAGCCAGATCCTCTCCCCACAACTCTCACTGATCTGCTGGAGAGTTACAGAACAGGTCTATGAGATGGGGGTAGGGAACCAAACCCTCCTATCTCTTTCATCGTCCACACACACACCTCCTCACTATTATTACACAAATACACAAACACACCACCTTATTATCATTACTACCGTGTTTCCCGGAAAATAAGACAGGGTCTTAATTTTTGCTCCAAAAATGC